GTAACTCGATAACTCGAATATGTCATAGGTTGGGGACTACCTGTACATGGTTTGTTTGTTTTTCTTTTAAATGTAAAAGTCCCACTGTCTGTTTTGGTAGCGTGGTCGTCCGCACTTTGCAGATGAGAAAGCTAGGGTGCTGTCGCCCAGTGATTTTTCAGAAGCATATTATAACCAGTAGCAAAGCCATGACTTGACCCTGGGACCGCAAATCCTCAGGTGGTTTTACTGTAATTTTTTAATTTGAAGATATGTGCAGCTTGAGATAACTCTGGTTAGTTAAAACATGCCCTGAAAACCCAGGCAGATTCTTAAACTTGTGTGAAGTACTTCTCTGTCTAGCAACCATGTCTGTAGAGGCGAACCTGTTGGTCCCTGATCGTGCCGAGGCCCTGGCTGCCTCTCTCTGCACTGTCCTAGCACCGACCATCCAGAGGAAAGGCGGCTTGGTTTTGTTTAGCCTGGGGCCGCACACTCAAATGCCTGCAGGGCAGGTGGCTGGGACACAGGAGGGAGGCTGATCCCTGGAAGAGATCCTGCAGCTCAATTGCCATTGACTCTCACCTCAGACCTTCAGACGTGGCGGGCTAGAGGGGGCCCTGGGTCAGTGGGGCGTGTGTCCCTTTGCAGGGACAGCCGGCCAGGCCTGAGGACTACCACTAAAGGGTAGGGTGGGGATGCAGGGTTAAAAATTATTTTATTTATTTATTTTTGTTGTTACTGAGAATACACACAGCGAAAACGCACCTATTCAAGTTTCTGCATGTACAATTCAGTGACACTGATTACATTCTTTGAGTCATGCAACCATTCTCACCCTCCTTTTCTGAGTTGTTCCTCCCCGTTTAACATAAACTCACTGCCTTCTAAGGCACCTATTCAGTCTTTGGAGTTCTGTTGTCAGTTTGATCCCGTATAGATAGATCTTAAAACAGTATAATGCTCAAGGCAGATATTCTTTACTGCTGCTGTTGTTAGGTGCCATCGAGTTGTTTCTGACTCATAGCAACCCTGTGTACAACAGAACGAAACACTGCCTGGTCCTGCTGCATCCTCACAATCGTTGTTATGCTTGAGCCCATTGTTGCAGCCACTGTGTCAGTCCATTGGATTGAGAGTCTTCCTCTTTTTCACTAACCCTCTACTTTACCAAGCATGGTGTCCTTCTCCAGGGACTGATCCCTCCTAGACTATTGTTTGGTTTACCCAGTCTGCATCATGACAGTGGTGGCAGAAGGGGGCCCAGGAGGCGGGGCTAGGTGAGTGTCTGATTCGTGGTGTCTTGGTTTACATCCTCCCCCCACTCCCCTGGCAACGTCAGGGCTGTGTGAGCATGTTAATGCTTTTATACAGGTGACATGTGATTTTGAATCATCTGAAGTGAAAAGATTCTAGTGATTTTTAAATCATGTATTACTTGTTTCCAGATAATAACCATTTGGTTCTTTCTTTCTAAGAATGGTTTTTGGCTGGCGTTGGAATCGTTCTGGGGTTTTGGCGAGTTCCCTGGCAATGATCGGTTCTGAGCATCTGTTGTTGACATGTGCTTCTTCACGGGTCAGTTGGTGGGAGAGCCAATCTTGCTTGCTTTGAATGAGAGCAAAATCTGCCTTGTGTGTTTGCAGAAATGTGCAGAAATTATCGTGGCTCACCTCGGCTACCTGAATTACACGCAGTATACAGTGACTGTGGGATTCGAACAGCTGCTCATCAAGGAGATGAACTTTACAGTGAGTAGACCAGCTGTGGGTGTTTCCATGGCTCAAGTGTTTGCTCCCATTCCTTTGTTGAATTATTGAAATGAATCTCGGCATCTAAACAATGTTATTTTGGCAGTTGAAGACTTGTAAAATTAAAAAAAATTATAGGAAGACCACAGTTTCTTAAGTATATAGAACCAAGACTAGTTTGAAGAAACAGCATAGAAATCAGAAAATCTCAGTGGCTTTGAGAGATTTAGACGTGAGAGTAGAGTGGTGTCTGGTGGAAGGTCATCGAGAGGTTAGCAGGCACGCCCTCCTGCGAAGACAGGGCTCTGTGGGGTCCACTGCTTCCGGTGGCCTGCCCCTCAATGACACCGCTCTGTGAGACTTTTCTTTTTTCTGTTTTAAAATTGTTTTATTGTAAGAAAACATTTGCCAATTCACCGTTTTTTACATGCA